TAGCCGTCACTCTCCCCCATTTTCCTAAAAAACCTAGCAGCTCCAAAGAGCATCGGCTTCACTCTTCTCCTACATATTCTCGCACACACACAAGGGCCAAAAAGAAAAAGAAAAAAGAAAAAAAGAAAAAGAGCACTCTCTGATTTAGAACACTGAAATTTCATAAAAGAAGAAGTAAAAAAAAGGAGGATAGAAAGGATATTTCTGAATAGGTTGAGTTGCAGCAGTTTATCTCCATGTTTCGGGTTTTCTAAACATTTTGGATCAAAAAGTGATGCTGATTTTTGCTGTTCTCTGCATAGTTGGACTCCAATTCGCCGTTACAGCCTTTATTTGGCTTTCTTTTCCTTTAAGTTTAATCCTCAAGCTATTAGGAGATTTGTATTCGAAATGTTGTTCCAGTAAGGTATGTGGGTTCATTTTGTTTGAGTTCTCTTCTTTCAACATGTTTCTTCAATTTTCTATTAACCAAGTGCATGTCTTTTGAATTTTTATTATTACATTGAAATGATTTTCCTATAGTTTAATCTTTAGCAATATTTTTTTGCATTAAGAATACCTTTCCATAACTAATTTATTACACTTTTCCATAATTCATAATTCATGGCCTTGCAATAATCACAAAGTTAGGAAATAACTTATATGAACATCGTAGCTTGATTTAGGCGCGATTAATAAATCATCGTGGCTGTGGGTACGATTCCCGTGGCATGGTCATGATACATAATTCTAAATTCGGGTGTGCATTTCATGTGACCCGACCCTAACTTCAAACAATATTAAAATAAACATGTTGTAAACCGCGGGTGCATTTCATGTGACGTGGTTCGCAATGTGTTCCAAAATAATAAGAGCGCGACATTGCGACTTATTTAAATAAACTCCATAAATAATTAAAAGCGGTTAAAAGGTTAAAAATGCACAATAGATTTTAAATATGTAATAAATCAGGTAATTAGGCCAATTATTAATAGTTGAGCGACCGTGCTAAAACTACGGAACTCGGGAGTGCCTCACACCTTCTCCCGGGTTAACAGAATTTCTTACCCGGTCTTTTGTGTTCTCAGACCATAAATAAGAGTCAAATTTCCTCGATTCGGGATTTAAACTAAACCGGTGACTTGGGACACCATAAATTATCCCAAGTGGCGACTCTGAATAAATAAATAATCCCATTTCGATTAATGTCACTTCAATTGGAAAAACTCCCTATCCCTATTCCCCTCGAGAAAAAGGAGGTGTGACAGCATACGTGCCTTTGTAGGGAAGACAAGCTTCACCGATTTCTCTACACCGTGACTCACAGGCGGCAATTGAAATTGCCAAAAATAGTGTGTACAATAAAAAAAGAAGACATATCTGCATTATACATGGTGCGGTAAAACAATTGTTGAAACATGGTGTTATTTTCTTGGAATATGTAAGATCCAAAAGAAATTTGGCGGATCCTTTAACCAAGGGTTTGGCAAGGAAAGTTATCCTTCAAACGTCGAGGGGGATGGGGTTAAAGCCCATGGAATGAGGAAGTATGGTGGATACCCATTAGTGGTCAAACGAAGCCATATGAGACCTCAATATGCACTACATTTCCTATCCCTATGGCGTGTGATAGTGCTTTATAAGGTTGAGCTTATTTTGCTCTTAATGATTCAATAGCCTTAAGGTGGTCTACGTGTAGATAGACTTGATGGAATCACCTACATGAGTGTAAAGGTGCGGTCACCTTTTATGAAAGACCTGGGATGTCTTTGTAGAGCACTCATGAGACCCAAGGTATGTGCATGACCATAAAAGCACTTTGTTAGTATCGCGGAGTTTGCATAGAGTTAAGGATATAGTATGTGTTGTGAGGGTCTCAACTAATGTCCATTCAGTTCAAGAGTATTTCACTTTGTGGATGTTAGTTGTTGTCATATTTCACTACGTGTCAATTCAAATCGAAAGTTATTTAAACTTAAGTATATGTTCCTTCTTTTGCTCGGAATTATTCTTATTTTATTTTTGTCTTTGCATTAGTGGGGGATTGTTGGCATTATTTTATATTTTATATTACAAAGTCAAAAATTTCTTTGTAGTCCCTTTTCCTTCTTTACTTCGTCGTTTGTGAAAGACAAAGTGTCCCTCATTGGTTGTAGAAAGTCTTTTTCTTTACTTTATAATGAATTACTCTTTGTTGGGCTTGTAAAGAGCTAGTAAAAGGGAGTGGTCTCGCGCACATGAGAAGTTGGTCCTGAAGGTAAAACGGGTCGATTTGCCCCCCCCCCTCCCCCTCCGTGCAAAATATACGTGAGGCCTAATCCAAGTCTGATTTTTGCTAAAATTATTTCTTCAATTTTTGAGCTTATCAGAAAAGTGTCCAAATACATGCTTACCAGAATATGTCCAAATTCTTTCTCTTTGAATTGGATTTTGTAACGTCTAATTTATTATTTTGTAACAGCCATGATTTAATTTTCGTAACAGCTGTAGTTAATTGGGTAATGACTCAATTTTAATTTCTGTAACAACTACAAATTAATTTCTTCATCTGTAACTGTTCAACAGCTTTGCCTACAAAAGGCAGTCTTCTTTGTGAATAATCTGACATAGAAAACACACCTTCATCTCTCTTTTTCAAACGATTTCTGGGCAACTTGTTTGTGCAAATTCCAAACTTCCAGCCACAAGTGCACGTGTTTGGAGGTGTCGTGGAACCTTGGGGAGCGACCGGTCTTAACAATTTCCAATCGCTTTTAAGGCAGTGACTTGCCACGACACAGCATTTTTGATAAATTTTTCTTCTTTCCTTCTTGTTTTCTTAGTCAATATTATCTACTCATTTTTCTTACACTCTACACAACCAATTAGAACCTACCAACGCTCTGCATGACCACTTGGAATCTACCTCGTGCTACCTATGGTTTGTAAAGCCATTTGGAATCTATCTATGCTCAGCATGATACTTAAAACCTACATGTGCTTTGCACGATTAATTAGAACCTAACCGTGCTCTACATGGTATTTGCAACTTAATCGTGCTCTGCACGACCACTTGAAATCTACATGTGCTATGCACGACACTTGAAATCTACCTGTTCTATACGATACTTGAAATCTAATCGTGTTCTACACGATCATTTGGAACCAAACCGTCTTAAATTTTTTTTTATATGCATTACACATGTTTTTCACATGTTATGTATCTTAAATTTTTTAGGTAATGGCCATTAACATGAGATATCGGGTAAAGGTCCTAATTCATGCGATATTTTGGTCAAATTTAGCTTTACACTCTTTTGTCACAAGATAGTTATTTGCGTTATTTGGTTTGGGACTCAGAATGAACCATCTTTTATTGTCTTTTTCTTTCCTTCTATTTGCTGCCAAACTTTTATTTGGAGTTTAAAATACAGGGTATGAATTAAATAATTGATACAAAATTAAATATCGTTTAAATAATAATGTGAAAACTGAATAGTGAAGGTACATCTTACAACTATTAACTACAAGGACCATTTAAAGATGTTTCTCCGAAGATAAATGAACACGAAAAATATACATTAAAAGGAAGCCAATGAATAATAAGCCTTTGAAAAAATAAAGAGAGAAAATAACAAAAAAAAATCCTTATGTTTGTGGGTTGATTCGAACAGTTCCTTGAATATACTCATGAGCATTTTTTATCCTTTTAAGTTATAAAAAATGGTATTTTTTATTTTAATCAAATATTTTAAAAACTAGTGTTGTTAGATTTAACGTGAAAATAAAAAAATATTTAACTAGAGAATCATGAAAAGTTTACTCAAATCAAGAAAATACAAACCCAAAAATTACGCCACGTCAATAATCAATCAAAGATAACAATTACACTCGACAAAAATAATAACAACTGCAAAACTTTACCTCCAATGTGAATTTTTGTTAAATCTTTCTTTTGTCTAACAATATCTCCGCAGTTCTAATAGTTAAGCTAACTAAGATAAAAAGAAATGCTCATTTTTTTTAATAAATTTGAAGGACCAAAATTACTTAGGAGTTATTTAACAGATTACTTTAATCTTATCTCGAACATAAGAGATTATAGTCTTTTTTTTCTCAAATAAATACTCATTTAGGGGGTGTTTGGTATGACGAAAAATATTTTTCGGAAAATATTTTCCCATTTTTCACTATTTGGTTGCACAAAATTGTTTGAAAAATATTTTCCTAGATATCACATTTTTCTGAAATTGGAGGAAAATGACTTCCCTAGAAAAAGTTAGGAAAACAATTTCCAAAAACTCCACCTACGCTCACATCTAACCCCAACCCCCTCCCCCTTCTCTCCCCTACCGTACCTCTCCCGCCCCTCTCTCTCCCAAGAGACCTTTTTTTTTTTTCTTTTTTTTCAGATTTCACATGTTTTTTCTTTTCCGTCACCACCCATCATGCTAACCCCCCTAAAAAAGAAATTACTTTTTACCTTTTTTTTTTGTATTCAATTTCCTGTTTTTTCGTTTTTCTGCACCACCCACCCACCCCAACCTCGTCAATTTATACAATAAGTTATATAGAATATGTTTTTTTTTTTAACTTTCACTTTACAAGTTCAGATATTTTATGAGTTCCAAAGTTATGAGTTTGGAGGTTTATGTGTTTGGAAGTTTGCGACTTTAGAAATTATAGAGTTATCACGGGTTCGAAAGTTTAGTGGGTCAGAGGTAAGAAATTTGTGGGTTCGGAAGGATTGTTGGTTCAAAAGTTTATGACTTCATATTTATGGTATCTAAATTATTTATGAATAGTCTTGAGAAGTTATTTTTCTTAATTTGCGTACCAAACACCGAAAAAAATAATGAAAACCAACCAAACACACCCTTAATGTGTAAGGGATAGTAAAAAGAAAAAAAATGCAATTGGATACTGTATACGGTAAAATTTGGACAATATCGGTAACATATGGCATCTACCCGTACATGTTGGTCACAAGATAATCTCAGCCGTTTATCTCTTGTCTCGCGGTTCGCTCCGTCTCTTGACCCGCCTCATAAATGGGTAAAAATGCTGTAACCGATGTTACACGAACTCCAATATTTTATTTTCACCTACTGCTGAGTTAAGCTCCCTGTCTGAATTTCACCCTCCGGCAAATTCTCCGATCAGTTTCACCGCAGCTAAAGGTCAGCATCCATTCCTCTCTCCCGCCGGTAAAATATGTGCATGCACAATTAATTTTCTAAACCTTCATACATTTGAATATGAAAAAATATATATCAATTTGGAGCTGTTGGTTAATGCCTATGTAAAAATTAAAATTGAAATGGTTGTATTGGACTTTTACGGAGGCGGAGGTGGTGTAAAATTTAGGCGTTTGTTATTTGATGGATTATGTGCATTTGTTGTTGAATATTGGCAATAAGTACTTAATTACTGCTTATTCCCAGTTAAATTGTACACTGGCTCCCAGTAGCTCTTTTTTCTTGAACTGTTCCTTTTTTTTTTTTTTTTGTAATTGAACTGTCTGTGTGTGTGTGTGGGGGGGGGGGGGGTTGAAATGTTTCTTGGCTGGGATTGATTTGGACTAGAATAATCAGTCCACCTAATACTTATAGTAATTGAGATATTAATATAAAACAAAAAACACTATGTGGTTTCTTTCCATCTTCCTAAGCCTTGGTGGATAGAGTTATCCGGTACATCTGTTGGTGGGAGATAGCACGTACCTGGTGTAATAGTCGAGGTGCGCATAAGCTGGTTCCCATGACGTCATAAAAAAGAAAAAGAATATACGAGTGGAGAAGAAAAAGGTTTTGTGAAGTATTAAAATAATGATGAAGACGATTGCACCGACTTGATATTTTGGTATTATTACAACAACAACAACAACAAGAAACCCAGTAGTTTCCCACAAGTGGTGTCTGGGGAAGGTAAGATGTACGCAGCCTTACCCTTACCTCTGGAAGGGCAAAGAGGCTGTTTTCTGTAGGCCTTCGGCTAGAGAACGACTAAAAAAGAAAAGGTAATTGCAACAAGATGAATAAGATCGAATCCAAGAATACAGTCAAACTCTAGGTAGTAATAGCCATCTATGAATAAAAGATATCATACTAACACTAATGCTAGCGAATTGAGTAAGAAAAAGAGAAATACTCGACTACCTACGAACCTTCTACCCTAATCTTTGACCTCCACACCCTCCTGTCTAGGGCCAGGTCCTCAGTCAGCTCCAGCTGTGCCATGTCCCGCCTAATAACCTCTCCTCAAGACTTCTTAGGCCTACCTCTACCCCTCCTGCTGCCAACCGAGGCTAACCGCTCGCACCTTCTAATTGGGGTTTCTATACTTCTCCTCTTAACATGCCCGAACCATCTCAACCTCGCCTCCCGCATCTTATCCTCCACAGGGGTCACTCCTACCTTTTCCCGAATAACTTCATTCCTAATCTTATCCAACCGGGTATGCCCACACATCCACCTCAACATCCTCATCTCAGCTACTTTTAGCTTCTGGGTATGATAGTTCTTGGCCGGGCAATACTCTGCTCCATACAACATAGTCGGTCTGACTACAACCTTGTAGAACTTACCCTTAAGTTTCAGCGGCACATTCTTATCACACAAGACAACGGACTATTATTATTATTATTATTAATAATAATAATAATAATAATAATATTTTGGTGCTATTATTATTATTATTAGGCAAAATGGCCTCGGAGCCACTTAAACTTGCTGGCCTCGGAGCCACTTAAACTTGCACCTGTTTGTCAACCCGCTAAACAAACTTACAATTTTCCCATTGAACACCTCTACTTGATCAAAACCCATAATTTGAACACCTCCGCCGGAGCGTGAACCTCAATTGCGCTGTCAAGGATTACACTGTTGGTATTACTGTGTTCAAAATCAGAAAAGTAAACAAACGTTAGTTCAATAAACAAAACGTAAAATAATTCCGAGCCCACTGAATGCACAATGTGTCCTTAAGGAATTTAATCCCCTCACTGTTGCCCAAGGTATACGGATTAATTCCTCCCAGGATAGAACGGAATAACTATTCTGTGATAGCGGCACTTCAAATCACAGAACTTCAGCGAACTCAACAAACGGAGCAAATCACACTTGACACTTATGTTTATTTAGAAAATAATGCAACAATGTAGGAAAGAGGGGAGAAGATTTCAGATTTTCCATGTCTGATTTCATGTTTGAAAAATGAGGCCAAGCCTCTAAATTTATAGACAAAGGAAGGGTGATATGGAGAGGTGCAATCTAAAAGGTGCCTCTTCCATTTCCCATTCACACCCCTTAATAAAAACGCAACAATCCCCCACATGAATGGGGAATGGTCATATGAGGAAAAACATGCATGAAAATACTGTGTGATTCACAAATAAGGATTAATCGCATCTGGATAAGTAGGTTTCCCTTTGAACTTTCCGTAGTGAACTTATGTCGGATATACTCGGTCAATCGGAAGATTTGATATCTTTGAACCGTCGAACTTTGGTGTATACCTAGACAACCATAAGTCACACAATTAACCCTTAACCGTCTTTGGTTCTCACGGTTGTGTTCGTTTCAGCCATGAACACCGCCTGGTTTCATGAGTGCTTAGAGAATGGGCCTTTACTTTCATTACCCTTAAAGCGGCTTACACTTAACACCCACATAGGTGATTTCTAAACGTGTAATCCTATAGACACACTATCTGGTCATATCCTGCCAGACTTAGAAAATCATTAAAAAACTTTAAGCTTTATTGACTCATCAAAAAGCCTTAATGCTTTACCTTGATTTCTGAATATTGTCTTCATCACGAGAATGAGTTGAGTTATTTGATAATGTTGAACCGTCATTCATAACTTTGTTTGATCTCTTTGAACTTAGCTCTTGGGATCTCCATTCTGCTAGGTAGAGTTACCGCCATGATGACTTGTCCTAGGCCTTAGCCCCATTCTCTTCAATGATGTTTCAACTGCCTCTCTAGATAGGCCTTTTGTAAGTGGATCCGACACGTTATCTCTTGACTTTACGTAGTCAATCGTGATAACACCACTAGAGAGTAGTTGTTTAACGGTGTTGTATCTCCGTCGAATGTGACGAGATTTTCCGTTATACATAACGCTCCTTGCCCTGCCTATAACCGCTTGACTATCACAATGTATACACATAGGTGCCAAAGGGTTGGAAAATGGAATATCTTCCAAGAAATTCCGGAGCCATTCGGCTTCTTCACCGGCTTTGTCTAAGACTATAAACTCAGCCTCCACTGTAGAGCGGTCAATGCACATCCACCGACTGTTTAGAATCGGTTGAACCGGTGATTTAATTTTCATCACTATACCCCTCTTATTATCGCGGGATACTTATTGTAGTGCAAAGCATAATTTGGAGTATATTTCAAATACTTCAAAACTCGTTTCATTGTCATGAACGTTTAATGCAAACTTCCTTATGTTGTAGACTAATATGTCTCGACTTCCGATTGCATATCATATTATCGACTACACTTAATGTAGTAATAGTATATTATAACAACAGCTGGAATGATTGGCATCAGTTATGACCACAACCTTTTAATATATAACACATTTATCAATCACTCTGTCATTTCCAAGCATTTGTATGTTCTTTATTCATACGCCTATATGATATACAAATTATAGCACCTCCATTCATGAAACAAATCCAACTTGCGATGGATTTTGGTCATGTTCATCGGTTGGTTCACCTCATTATAGACCAACGTATTAATACATTCGTTCATGAACGGTCATGTCCATACAAAAACGTACAGACGTATCTTTCTATGAAAAGTCACAACCTTCAAAGTGACATCATTTCATAAAAGAACTAAACAATATAAATTTTCAATAAAGAAAATGACCTTTCGAGAAAGGCACGTGACCAACTTCCGAATTAGTAGTTTCATCAACTAGTCTTCATTAAGACTAAACAACGGATGAATTTACCAACTACTATATCAATGGGGTTCAAAAATTATATTATTTAGACATTACGTCTAACATTGGCTTTTGTCATGCATAAGCTAAAAACCCCCACATTTTAAATATTTCATCAACATATCATATATAATCAAATAATGACTATACGATTTGAAGTATTCTTAACGTAAACACATTTGTTTACACTCATTAATTTTTGAAACCATTTGACAATATTATTTGGTCAAATCTCGCATGTCATTGTTTGGGTGCTTGTCTTAGTCTGTAAAGTGACTTAACAAGTCGACACACCTTCTTTTCTTTTCCAGGAACCATGAACCCTTCAGGTTGTTCCATATAAATTTCTTCCTCCAAATCTCTATTTAAGAAGGTTGTCTTTTACGTCCATCTGATGGATTTCAAGGCCATACACGGTGGCTAACGCTATTACCATCCGAATAGATGTAATTCTCGTTACGGGTGAGTATGTGTCAAAGTAATCAAGACCTTCTCTTTGGCAATCAATCTTGCCTTATATTTGTCAATAGTACCATCAACTTTTATTTTTCTTCTAAAAATCCACTTAGAATCCAAAGGTTTATTTCCTGGAGGAAGATCAATCATTTTCCAAGTATGATTACTTAATATGGGTTCTATCTCACTATTGACTACCTCTTTCTAACATTGTGGTTTCGAGCAAGACATTGCTTCTTTAAATGTTTGAGGCTCACTTTCCAACAAGAATGTCAGAAAATCTAGTCCAAAGGAAGTAGTTCTCCTTTGACGTCTTGGATTCACCTCATTAGGTGTACTTTCCTTTGCTTCTTCCCGAGTTTGCTTAGATTTTCACTGGACGACTCACATTTCTTTTTATACGGGTAATTATTCTCAAAGAATTCAGCATTATCTTATTCGATTACCGTATTAGTATGAATGTCGGGATTTTACGATTTATGAATCGGAAAACAATATGCCTTACTATTTCTTGCATATATTATAAAAACCGAATCAACAGTTTTCGATCCACTTTTTATCCTTTTGGGTTTAAGAACTTGCACTTTACCCAAATACCCCCACACTTGGAAATATTTCAAGTTGAGTTTTCTTCTTTTCCATTTTTTTTATATGGAATGGAATGTGTCTTGCTATGGAGAGCGTGAATGAGTATTCGGTAAGCTGTAAGCATAGCTTTCCCCCCACAAGTTTTGGGTAAACCAGAACTTATCAACTAGGCATTTATCGTCTCCTTTGACGTTCTATTCTTTCTTTCCGCAATTCTATTAGATTGCGCAAAGTAAGGGGCAATCGTTTGGTGAATAATGCCATATTCCAAACATATTTCTTCAAACGCCGCCTCTATTACTTTGTAGAGCCAACCACATGAACTGTTGTTTGTGTCATAATATAGTCAGAATAAATGGTGAAGCTTTTAATCTTCAAACCAATCTGACACAATCAGTATTAATAAACGGTGAAGTTTTTAATCTTCTAACCGAGTAATACCTGATACCGGATCTAATAAACGGCGAAGTTTTTAATCTTCAAACCGAGTAATATGTGACACAATCAAATTTAATAAACGATGAAGTGTTTAATCTTCAAACCGAATAATAAATTAGAGTAGAAAATCACTAAGATTTTAATCTCCAAAACGAGTATAAAGTCACTTAGACTTTAATTTCCGACAAATGAATAGAAAGTCACAAAGACTTTAATCTCAATAATCGAGTAAAAAATCACGCAGATTTTGATCTCGAAGCAGGAGTAAAAAAAATCACAAAGATTTTAGTCTCCAAAACCAGGGGTATAAAATCACAAGAATTTAATTCCCTTTTCAAATGGTTTTCCAACTAAACCATTTTAAATAGTTTGATCTCTTACTCTAATCAAACACATATATATTCACCTTTACATATTATATTCATGATCTCAAGAATATTTTTAAGTATAGTGTAAGCCTAATTCATGTCTTACACCTTTGGAAAAAAAAATCTTTTTCACATATTTTATGCATGTTACCAAATTAAATATATTTTTCCATTTGGTCAAAGAATAATAGAATTAACCATTAAAATCATATTATTCCAGATCATGCATATAATTTATAATACGAGATCATCACATAATACACATCTATCCTATGAGAATAAAATGCACAGAAATCATGCAAAGGATAGAAATTCATAAACAAATAATACGTAAGTTTAAGAAAGTAGAACCGGATCTTTACCACTTTCTTCCTTACTTATTGCCTCAGAGTTGCAATTCGATGATTCCATTATTAAAGAATAGTTGGCTTTTCTGTTTCCTTGGTTTACTACCAAGTTCAAGCCATCGCCTTCACATTGTCAACGATAATTCTCTTAAATTCCTTAAGATTGTTGGTATTACTGTGTTCAAAATCAGAAAAGTAAACAAACGTTAGTTCAATAAACAAAACGTAAAATAATTCTGTGCCCACTGAATGCACAGTGTGTCCTTAAGGAATTTAATCCCCTCACTGTTGCCCAAGGTATACGGATTAATTCCTCCCAGGATAGAACGGAATAACTATTATGTGATAGCGGCACTTCAAATCACAGAACTTCAGCGAACTCAACCAACGGAGCAAATCACACTTGACACTTATGTTTATTTAGAAAATAATGCAACAATGTAGGAAAGAGGGGAGAAGATTTCAGATTTTCCATGTCTGATTTCATGTTTGAAAAATGAGGCCAAGCCTCTAAATTTATAGACAAAGGAAGGGTGATATGGAGAGGTGCAATCTAAAAGGTGCCTCTTCCATTTCCCATTCACACCCCTTAATAAAAATGCAACATACACATCACATGATAAGCCTTTTATTGTTTGACATGTGTAATTAGTGAGTCCCATTTTTTTTAATATTTTTTAAATTAATTTCTGAAAATTTTAAAATCATTATCTTTCTCTTCTTCTCCACCTCTATCAAAACAATTCTATGGTGAACCAAAGCACCACCAGAAGGTTCAGAACTACCAACTTCGTCCACCACCACCATAAGCTCCAGCTATAAACAATTAAACCTATCACCAGAAAAGAAAAAAATACCTAATCAACCACAACAAACTTTAGCGACTCCAACTAATAAAATTTCAATGTCAAACTCATTTTCCACGGCGCCAGCAAAAATTGGAAAATTCCTCCAATGTAAACTTTGAATTAGTGATTTCAATAAAAAAAAATGCTCTAACCCTCAAAAATATTTTCTTTTACTCCAAAAATTAACCCCAATATATATTACCATCACCACTGCCACCACCATTGTAAACAAAGGGATATGTGGGTGGGAAGAAAGGGTTGGCGTTTAAAATGCAAGGGGAAACACATCTGGAGAGGAAGGGGTTAAGGTGCTAGGATTGGGGGGGGGGGGG